TGGAGCTCAAAGTGCTGAAGAGACGAAGCTGTTGAGTTTATTAGCATTTTTAGCCGGTTGTTAGGGCTCGGGAATTCATATCGATCCCTGAGGCAACAGACAGCGTGCGGAGTCTGTCTAATAACAGAGTGGGTGGCACGGAACCGCTAGGCGATTGAAGCGCCCGTATTGCGCTCCAGGTGTCGACATTTCCCAAGACCAACTCCTCAAGGTAACCCGTGATCATGCCAGAGAAAGCCGTGCCAACCAAAGTGGCGCTCGGTGGAGGGGCCACGAGATAACCTTGCAATGTTTCGAGACGTTTCAGCTGTGGGCAGGAGGACCGCACCCACTCTAGGGGCAACTGGAAATAATGGATGACCATGTTCATGCACGAGGGGAGACGAGCAATACGGTACACCGCGTCCAGGATGGCGGGTGTTGGCTGCACCACCGTGATCCCCATTGTGTGAATGCCCGTTTTCGTCGTGCGCAGAGAAATGGAATGTAGACGGCCAAGCTTGTAGAGGATGACACAGAAGGCGCTCTGGGATTCGAGTTCGTCTGTGGTAAACGTGAGGTCGAGAGCTTGGATATGGGAGGCAGCCTGGGGATTGTGAGTAAAGATTGAGTGGATTCTGGGGATGGTGGCCCACTCTTACACAGCTTCGAGTGATAATAATATATATAATTACTAGAAAAGCCACCTGGCAAGTGCTACAAAAATACGGTAGGGACATGGTGATACAGACAGTGTGCAAAAGGTACATACAGTTACTGATGATGTTACAACAGCTGAAAAGAAGGTCATACGAGATGGAAAATGCGACGAGCGAGCGAAGAATAAGATCGAGCTTGTTTTCGAGGGGTATCGTGGAAGTGCAATAGTACAAGAATGAATACAGATCTTTTCTCGTGGCGGGGGTGACTGAGGCTGGAGGAGACAAGGGGTCATGCACTCAATATTTTCTCAGAACCATGCGGACAACGGCGCGGAGAGGCATGGTAGCGACGTATCCAACGCGAGAGAGCACGAGCGACGTGATATTGGCGGGCTGAGCGAGGACAGGGTACTGTGCAATCTCCTCCTCGGGAATCGTTTCGAGCTGCATAGAAGACGAAGATGGGAACGAGCGGAGCGAGTGTTTCGACGGCGAGTAGGACGGCGAGGCATAGATACTGCGCTGCGGTGGAGCGGTGAACATCCATTCAGGCAGAATGCGTGAGAGGAGTGACGGTGGGGGCGTCGAGGCAGACGTGGTGGTGATGGTCAGCCCGGCCTTGCCTTTGCCTTTTCCCTTGACGGTGAGGCCCTCCAGCGTCTGCTCAATTTCCTTCACCTTCGCCTCCTGCTTCTCGTACTTGCGCTCGTACCGCTTGACGGTGCGATCGACGGAAAAAACTGCCTCGTCGACGTAGTCGTACATGTCCTCCGTCGCGTCGAGGAAACGCGTCTTGGCCTTCGCGAGCGCACGTTCAAGGTGCTCCACGCGCTTAATCATCTCTGCCATCTGCACGTGCATGTCGTCGGTAGATAGATCAGGAGATGGGTAGTGAATGACATCGTGGAGGTCGGTCGTGCGCTGCTTGAAACGCTCGATAACATGCGACCATGGCCGCATGCCCGTCGCGAGGACGAAAAGAGCGGTGCTGAACCACGAGACAGATTCCTCGCCGATGACAGCGGCGGTGGCGTAGCGTAAGAAGATGGCGCCGAGGAAGGGCGAGGCGGCAGCGAGTCCCAGAAAAAAGAATTCGAGAGCGCGCAGCTCGGAAGTGGCAACTTGCTTGTAATGATCTTCACCGCTTGCTGCTGGGACAGTTGGGGCGCGGCGACGTGGTCGGGCCTTGCGGTAGAGCTCCCAGGGAACTAGACGGCGTCAGAGAACATTCATCGACTGTGGTTTGCCACTTACCTTCAATGATTTGATGCAAATAAAAGATAAGCAGGATAATAAGGAACACGTTTTTGATGTAGTCGCCACCAGTAAGCCAGTTCCCGATGGGGGACACCAGAGCCACGACCACGGCCAGATCGAACTCGTACCACGCGCGTGTACTGGGAGACATTGGGCTGGGATGCGAACGGTCAGCTGCCGGTAGATTGGCGGTATCAATGGGAGCAAGGGGCGGGCTCTGTCTGCGGTAATTCGGGGACATTGACACGTCTTTTCCTTCTGCACCATCCCGGACGTCCGCTCCCTCCAATTCGCCATCATCGCTCCCGGACTCAGACTCATCATCCATTAAAGCCGGTCGCCTGTGCTTGTGCTTTGCCGTGAAGCTTTCGTCAATATCCGACGCAGCGATAAAATCTTTCGTAGAGTCTGACGAGGTAAGACTTCCGGACGCTCCGTCGCCGTTAAGAGTAATTGTATGGGTCGAGGGCGATTTACCGTCCTGTACGTTGATTCTGTGACGAAGAGGTGTATTGGTAGCCCGAGCAGAGGAAAATTTGGTCGCCATTTTAGGGAAGAAAGAGAGATGTTCGTGGCATGAAGGAAACAGGCGACTTCAGCGCTGTCACGGTTGTCGACCACGACCGGGCGTGGAGCGCCTGGAACGGTCACGTGGAAGGCTCTAACTTTCAACAAGGCACAACAATGTTGTTGACCATGGTCCGAGTCCGACGCCATAACCACCACCATCCACTCGGTTTCCCGATTCCAGGACACGAAGGCTTCGGCGCAAGTTTTTGTGGCAATATAACTTCTTCAGCGCCAATTATTCTCCAGTCCTTCAATTACTGAGCATCACGACCCTGCTTGTAGCGTGCCGGGCTGGTGCCGCCGGGAATCATCCACAGCATTCACCGACGCGTTTGTCTGATAAATACCACACTGGGTCTATCCACATTCTTGCTCACAATGTCCAACTTACGACTCCCTCACGAGCTCATCGATATCATCATTGACCACCTGCACCATGACCGGATCGCTCTCGCTGCGTGCTGTTTGGTGTCCAAGGCATGGCTCGTCAGCAGTCGCTATCACCTCTTGACAGACGTTCTCCTCGGCCATAAACACTCCGATGATGTTCTTGCACTCCCACCTCCTTCGATTTTCGCTGTAGCCGCCCGTAGGCTCATGCTCTCCGACAAGACTTGTCTTCCTCCGGGGATAGAGCACTTCTCCTCGGTCACGTCATTTTATCTACGTGTCTCGACCCCCAACGAAGACATGCTGACGAGGCTGCCTGTCCTCTTCTCGAGACTCACGTTGCTCGAACTGAACCAAGTTGTCTTTGATTCATTCGCGGACATGGTGCAGCTCGTCTGCTCCTTCCCCAACCTGGAGACGCTGACGCACTTCATGTGCCCATGGATTCAAGAGGTGGACCAGCCATCTGCCGATCTATGTCTGCCTCCTCGTCTACACACGCTCAACATCCTCTCGTTGAGACTACATGTCTTCTTTGACTGGTTCAATGCGTCGAAGGTCTTGCCTCCGCTATCCACCGTTCGCCTATACGGCGTTGCAGAGCCGCACATGACTTCCGTCGGAACTGCCATTGAAAATCTGGGCGACGGCCTGGAGAACCTCACACTCGACCTCTGGGACCACGAACATGGAGGTACGGATGTGAACCAGAGTCGCGATATCTCTCAAGCTAAACCATCCCACAGATCTTTTGGCTGAAAGCATCGACCTAAGCCACAGCCCCAACCTCCGCTCGCTCACGCTCGTCAACGGCTGGCCCAAACTCCTGTACCGCATCCTCCTCACGCACGCGCGACACTCGCATCACCTGCAACACCTGACCCTCACCATCTACGAGGGTAAAGGAAACATCCCGAATCTCGAGCTGCTCGATTGGCGTGAACTCGACCACTTTGTCGCCTCTTCCCGTCTCGTGGATCTCACGGTCCGCGTGTACGCACATAATCTGGTGTCGAAAGTGGATAAGGCCATCGTGGAGACGAGGTTCATGCCGACGGCGGCCAGGAAGGGAAAGGTGCGCTTTGTGCAGGAGAAGGAGAGGTTTGCGGATATGAGAGCCGGATTGCGAGGGCCCATTGCGGTACGCTCGTGGGGGGAGGAGGTTTCCAGGTGAGAATGCCAAGTGGTACGTGTACGCGTCCTTCATTACTAAAAGGTAGCTGAATCTAATTTCAACGTAATCAGATGGGCGGGACACGTATAATTTTGAAGTCCTGTTATTGTTTGGAATAAACTCATATCTTTGTCGCCCAACTCTGAGAAGATATATGTACAGATATCGGTCTAGCACGGTCACGTCAATGAACGGCAATAAGTTCGCCCTTCCTCCGCGTTTAACTGTCGTACTTACAATCGAACAAAAGCTTCTCGGCTTCCCTGTACACGTCCAGCCAGCATGCTGGGTTGGTAAAAATGTCCATATGCATGATTACTAGGATGGGTATGTGGGTACTAGTGTAAACTGAGAGTGTGATTTATCCAAAAAGCGTTCAGTTCCTTCAATTCAGAGTACGCTTCTGCCACGCCTGCGACTTCTGCGAGAGCCCGAGCAACAGCATCTGCAGCATAGGATGTCGGTGATCACATCAAATATGGTGGCAATAACCTATGTAGTAGTATCATCGGATATTGAGCAAAAACACAAAGACAGGCTAGTGAAGTCGTACGGTGGTAACTGCGCCGACAATTGCCATGATGACGCCTGCTATAGCAGAAATGACAGCGTTGATTCCACGACCGATTGCTGAAAATATTGAACCCTATGGTGATCTGGTAAAACGTTTTGCGAAATGTGAAAAAATGGCTTACCATGATGAGTTTGATGAAATTTCCAGTGAGAAGTTGAAGAGTACTGAATAGTTGAGTGTATCTGATGTGGTAAAGTTCATACGAAGCTGGAGGTCCACTCTATATACTTTTTCAGGTCCTCTACACTCATGACGCGGGGAGGAGTTTGGGAGGAGTGCTGGACTGCTGATGACGTACATTAACAAAAGGTGATGTCATGATTTCTATTTACAGAAGTTCAGCGATGGTGCGCCACATCACAATACAGGCCGATGACGTCGACACCTCGGTGGAGCCGTCGTAGTACAATGGTAGTACATTGCTTTCCTAGGTCGGTTTTAGCTCAACCTGCAAGGCAAAGGTTTTGGGTTCGAGCCCCATCGTCGGTTTTTTTTGTGTATTGTCCGTCCCGGCATGTCGTTGTCCTGCCGCGACTTTGACTGATGAGGTACAGAGATACACTAATTCCTGGCATATGTATCTTCCTTGAACATGGCATCTATATTTCAGACTCCGGTATGACATCCTTTGATTGAATGCTCGACCTTGGGACAAATGACACCACATCGTGCTCAGTGAACTCCCTCGATAACTCGAGGAATTCCAACATTCAAAGGTTCACGTTCGACTTTCCCGAGTTTCGGTCACCATTCACACAGGACCATATCAGGAGAAAAATGATCGACCAGTGCAAGAAGCTGTACGAGGAAACTTTGTCCGACCATTCCACTCATCCTAACTTTGAGCTGTCCCTCAAAAACCTACGAATCGTCCCATACGCATCACAGTCCTCAGCGGCCAATGAGTCGTACTTCGGAAACATTTGCACGAGACACCGAAAGACGCCCAGTGGTTCCTTGATCTTGGAGAGCATCAGGTCACTGCAAGTAATTCGCATGTTGCGATCCTCGGGATGTAAAAGGGAAGGCATGAATGGCTGGGCGCGGACAGGAATCGAGAGAAGGTCGAGCCGAGGACAGTGTCGGAGTCACGGGATCAAACCCGCCAATGTTGCCGCGGAACCCTCCTCCGTAATCAATAACGTCTCTAGATCTGGCCAGGCAAGCGCAGCATCTGCAAGCCACGCGTCATCCAGATGGAATAAGCATTCGAAGAGAAATTGGACCCTCCAAATCCGCTTCAGCGCGTACAGAGGCCGAAAAGCAGCATTGATTGCCAGTGCAGCCTGGTCGTCGCCGTCCGTGTTACAATGTCCACTGAGCATTAGAGCTGTCAAACTCGAAGTGAATAATGGATGAATAATGAGTGATTGCGTTTGAACAGCGGAGGGATGAAATTTGGGTGGTTTCGCTGATGTCAACCTCAAGACTTTCCAAGGGCCGCCACAACAGCCGAACAATCTTTTTCGCCACGTCGATATCCGGGGTGGAGAGACTCAACCTACGTAGATTTGAAAAGCTTCCACCAGACGTCGAAAATATCTGGTCAAGGTGTGAAAGAGTCACGGTGGAGGGGAGGTCGATTGAGGCGAAGGCGAGGTTGGGAAGGTTTCCAAGGCGCCAAATAATGTCATGCTTGGCGGGAAGTTCGAGATTGGCGGAGTGCAGACTAGAAAGGGAAGAAAAGAGGCGCGCGACCGCTGGAACCAATGCCGCCTTATCTTCATCGCTAATGTAACGCACTTGTAGCTCAAAAGACCCAAGGTGCGATCACCAAAATGAAATTGGCCAGTATTCGAGTATTCTCCACTGATCCAAACGAATGCAACGAGACGCTACGGACAGAGTGACCAAGAAGGGCAAGATAGTATGGTACGATTTGCTGATAAATGTGACATGGGAGATCCAGGGCGGGGTAGAATGTGGAAAGGTTCGGGAGAATCGGATGCACAGGACGGTATGCTGCGAGCGCCTGTAAGACTGTGTGGTCGATCCTTATTGTGGACCAGGCACTGAGCTTATGGTGTCCAAAACGATGTGCCCTGTGAGAATAATAGTCAAAGCGTGGCCAGTCGCTTTCTTCAATGGCACGCGTGAAGACCTGATGTTATGGATACTTCAGCACAAATTCAATGAGGACTTGACTTGCTAACGCACTGCGACCTTCTGAAGACATTTCCATGTAAAGTCCTCCTGTTCTTGAGTGACCCACAAGTCCCCAGGCATTACTTTGACCAGGGGGCGAGTGATGATTGCTCATGCCACAAAATATTCAGTGCGGCTTCTATGAAATTCGATGTGATTGTTCATCAGTTCAATAGCAGGAATGGTCGTTGTGGTAAGACCAACCTGTGAAATCCTTGCAGATCCTGGCTAAGCGTGCCAAAGTTGCGCCATCTTCGTCGACGCAATAAAGTTGGAAAATTAGCGACTGGATTTCGACGATATGCAGACAAGCGGTTTCTAGTGTCGTTTGCGCGTAGAGTTGGGAAGGCAAGGTGCGAGGACGATGACCACGGGTGAGCGGTGTATATAAAGTCGATCGACTCTTTCATGGTGAAGAATCGGGAAGAAAGGAAAACAGTGAAAGGGAGAAGAAAGAGTCGAGTTGGTGCACGCGGGTCAACAGAATGGCGATTTTTATTTGGTACGACAAACTCTACAGTGTACACAGCTGAGGCTGTTTTCTTGCCATCCAAGCCCACAGCATCCAGCCCAGCTGGCTTCTCGGATTCCAAAGTTTAACGTTCAACCCTGGTGCCTTTCCTCTGGCTTTGCGTTGAACCCAGCTCCTGTGGATTCGTGGAAGGACTACAAGCCCTTGCCAGGTCTGAGGTATGCACAGATTCTATAGATTTTTACAGGCATCGCGAATTTATGAGCTTGCATCGGGAGACCCACTGGCGCCCGCCGACGTGCCTGTATCATATCAGCTACGGTGCAGCTCACAATTGCCTTCATGCCACTTGCTACTTGCTAGGACTGGGTTGCGCCGACTCGCTCATGCACCGAAGCCAGTCGCGTTTGCACTTTCACCCGCGGGGCCAGAATATGCTCCGTCGCTCAGCGGAACTAGTTACTTTTTCTCAACAGGCCTGCTCGCAATAGAAGGTACCAATCCCTCTCGCTCTAAGCCTAAATATCCCGAAGCTGGCACGCACGCCCGGACAAGGCGCCCTCATACTCTGTTTCTCGCTGCCTGGCAAGTCGAAGCTCGTTAAACAAACAGATGCCATTGTCTGACCAGTCACCAAAAAGGCGAAGACGTCAACTGCTCTCCTGCCGCTGCCTGCGCTTTAAAATCCCTCCGAACCGTAGGGACATCAGGGCCGCGTCGGCCTACATACTTCTGTCACGACATGTGTCGATCCGCCGGGAACACTACTTATAATATATAGAGATATTCTCATAGATAGCTCTCACGGCGACCCTGTCAGTGTACGGTCACGCCGCACGGTCCACGGAACCGACACACTTGCGATGAACGTGGTCTCAGCCGTTGGCCACTTCTTCGCCCCTCTTCACCGTTGTGTTGAAGGAAAACGTACCTTCAGTCATCGATAAGGTCTCACACTCTTCACTCCATCGATCCATGCTTCCCGAGGATGGCCCAACACAGGCTTCGTAGATCTATTGCCTCGAGGACCGAAGGTAGTGTCACTTTCGCCATTTCCAAGTTCCGTAAACAGCGATTTGAAGTCAGATTGTATCCTTTGGTGCCAAGAATCCAAGTGCACTTGAAGAATGCTTGAAGAATGGTTCATTTATCCCCCCCTCCTTTTTTGGTGTCCCCTCCGTAATACCCCGTATTCCGTGAATACAGAATGTGATTTTCGTACGCCTTGAGGCTTGAATGGTAATTGTCCTGACTCCTGTGCAGAGATGTCAGAAGCAAGCTTGGCACATCGTCTGGTTGCCTAATTGGGCTATGCATACCTGACATTAGCGACGACCGTCTGCAACGTGCCCCTCGCCCCCCTTGCCCTACTCTCCCGCATTTCTTCGCAGTATAGTCCTATCGGAGGCTGAAGAGAGGTTGTATTACGTTCAACAGAGACCAGGTAACGTGGACGGCCAGCATATCGCCCGTTGTTGTGACCAACCGTTGGGCTGTCTCAAGCAATTGGTACCTTTTGGTTCCCCCTGCGCCCTATATTGCCTCCTTGACATTAATTTCCGGTCGTCTGTCCTCTGTGGCCACCTTCACATTCGCAAGGATCCCGGGATCATCACTCTATTGGCCAACAACTTCATTCAATAGCCAGACATGGCATCTGCGGCACTCGAGACCTCAACCGCGAGAAAGGCCCTGGATAGTACCCTTAAAGTGCCGTCTGCGTCGACTTTTTCGTTCAAAGCACCCTTTCCCGTCGCCTCGACATCATTTTCGCCAGCTTCACCCCTAAAACAAAGGCGGGTGTCGCTCGCACTCCCCTCTTCACCTCGGGTTGTTCAAGCGTGGAATTTTCGCGACGATACCGGTGTTGAATCGCATGTACCAGAGACCGAGACATCGGCGCTGGTTCCGGAGAAGCGAGGGAAGATGAGGAAGCTCGCCACTGGTGCGGATGGCGAGCCGTATCAGGAGAAGAAACAGCGGAAGAAGTGGACGGACGAGGAGACGAAGATGCTGGTCTTGGGCTGTAATCGCGTGAGTTCCGTGCCTTTTATTCTTGAAACCTTCAATCAACGTGTGTGCAGCATGGCGTAGGAAATTGGAAGACCATACTGAGTGACACTACACTTACATTCGACAATCGGTCCCCTGTGGACCTGAAGGACCGGTATGTCCGTTCACCCATTCACGTCGCACGTTTACTGACATGCAAAAGCTTCCGCACATATTTTCCGGATGCGTACAAGGAACATTACCCGAACGCCCGGACACACCTTTCTAGTAAAGTTCGGTCGACCCTCCCCGACGGATCATCGCTCTTCGAAAAGACGCGTAGTAAGAAGCGCCGACCGTTCACTGAGGAGGAGGATCGGGCGCTCAAGGCCGGGTACGAGAAACATGGGACGGTATGGGCGACAATCGTGAAGGATCCTGTCTTCCGAGAGCAAGGCAGACGCTCGACGGATCTGAGGGACAGGTTCCGAAATGCTTTCCCTGAGCTGTATCAGGCAGCGGGGTATAAGCCTCGCAACTCGTCCAAGAAGAAGCCGCTTGTAGATGGATCGTCGCTTCCCATACGCGCCGCCACCGACGACCAGCTAGCGATGTCGACTACCGGGCCTGTCAGGAGAAGGCGGCGAGCCCACACTAGCCAGGGCCTTCTTCGAGGCGGTACTAAAAGCGTACCGCAGAGCACCGCTTGCTCTGAAGACGACGATAGTTCCGCGGGGGAAGAGGAAGGAGACTCCGTGTTCAAGTCTCCACACACCCCTGTGTTCGTCGACAACGTGTCTACGTCATCCTTTCAATCGAAGAAATGCCCGTCTTTCTCGAAGAGCGATTCTTTCACTACTACAGACGATGACGAGATGGA